AATATAAGTGTTCTTTTTGCTTCTGTTTTCCTTATGACTTCTTCATTACTTACATGCTCTGTCCGTGGTATTCTTAACATCCTTCTGTTGAACCTTATCTTTATTCCTTCCAGTCTTCTCTTCAACTGTTAGGTGATGGTCCAGCATTTACTACCATATAAGAGGATTGATATTACATAGTTATATCAAAACCAAACAGGTGTAGAAATTTAACTATCTGGGTAGTATAGTAACAGATGAAGGAACATGGGAGACAGAAATCCAAAAGTACATTGGAATAATTAAAGATGTCTTCTACAAACGAAACAGTAGTAAGCTTACATTATTATGCATACATGGTCTCTCCATAGTATTTGGGGAAGGTTGCTAGGAATTGTGGACAGTGTCTTTGTAGATATCAGTCATCTATATACACACACACACACACTATATATATATATATACAGACAACCCACAATTAGTGGGTTTTCAAATGAGTGTGCTAAAATCTTTATATATCAAAATTCGATTGGCGCATACTTAGTGTAGTGAAAAATTCTTCAGTTTAACCATAGTATTTGAAAATTGATTTTCTTATAGTTACCAATGTACACATTAGCCATACTAATTGAGGGATTCCTGTATATATATATATATATATATATATATATATATATATATATATATATATATATATATATATATATAATGTCTTGGCATCATGGCTTGGCTTTGCTAACTCATTTCTTGGGCAGTTTTAGGCACACACGCAGTTGCAGGAGATATGTGGCTAACACTCAGGTCTGGGTTAGAGAATTTTTGAGGTGAAGTGTCAAGGGTCAAAAGCCAAGCCCAGGTGCAAAATGATGATGGCATGAAATCCTGGGGTTTAGGTTTCCTGTGAGTTTTTGTTTAATTTTTCTTGTATTCTTACAAGTTTTCCTTTTTAAGGTGTGAGCATGGAGTGAAAGTATTTTCATAGTATTTGTTTTACCAAATGTCTAATACTTTATTCATTCTTTTGTTCAAATACTTTTGACCAACTCAACCTAATCTTGCCTATCACATTGACAACACACTATTCTTGATAATGGATGAGACAGTCAAAATTATTTAAACAGAAGCAACAGAACAAGCATAAACTTTGGACATTGTATCATCAATTTCAATCCTGATATGCAACATCCTATTCAAAAATTTGAAAAATAAAATAAAATGTAAACAGACAAATCTTGTCAGTTGAACTTAATAAAACTTGTTTGTATATCTATCACACAACATTTAAAGGCACATTTGTTTCCACCTTCACAATACAGGAAAATACTTGCTGACAAACCAATGAAAATAATAAATAAAAACTTCAAATTCCCAAGGCTCTCTGTTGATTTCCAATCGGACAGGAATGCTTGCAAAAGTTTTCCCCCTCCCCTTTTATAGATAAAAGTCCACAAAATGCATGCTGCAATACTTTTCTTAGTCAATAAAATAGGTTGATTTATAATTTGACTTGACTCGGTCCAGATCTACCTTGTCTCTATGGAAGATCATTGGGTTCACTTGTCTGATGTAGCTTTTCTGTGGAGACATGAATTCATGTTTTGTGAACCATTTTACTTTCTTACGGGGGAATTTGCTTTACTTATATTGTTTGCTTGCTTCCCTGGTACCATTTAATTTTTACCCCTTTTTCTTTCTAGTGCAAATATTATTAATTCTGCTTGTTGGACATTTGTGTTATTTATTTTGCATTTGGACCATGACTTCTACCATAACACTGTCTATATCAAAAGCAACCTACCAACACTGAACAAGATATATTACAAGTACTGTAGCAATGTTTTAAAAGGCAATTGAATTGACTAATATTCAACACTATGTTGCAGTTTTGCATCTCTGGTTACCCATTTTGCATTGAGAACGCTTGTTTATAAAACATTGTAACCACAATGATTAATTTTAAGATAATCATAATTATAACAATTACATACAAAAACATATATTTACAAAAAAAAAACACCCCCACAATGATTACAATTACATTTTTTTTCACAATTCACCCTCTAGGATGATCTTGGAGGAGATTGAAAATACTTGGGGTTAACAAGAACTATGATGAATTTCAACTTAACATCAAGAAGATAATTAGAGAATAGGAATGGATTATTATAAAAATAAATAGCCGTATGTGTATATGTATATATTATTTAATGAAACATGCTTGAATGAATAAATACTGTCTAAATACATACATACATATATATATATACCACATATATATATATATATATATATATATATATATAGTTTTAAGGTGTGCTATATTTATGGGATAAATTGCTCAATATCAGAAATAGAGTGTATGTAAATATAAATATAAAAGTGAACTTTGAAGTCAACATGCAGAGGCATCTAATATGAAACAGCCTATCGCCTCTGAGTGTTGACTTCAATGTTCAGTTTTATATATATAAAAAAAATTTTTCTCCTGATGATGGCCATGTTGGCTGAAACTAGTTGAGGAATCTAAATGAAATAATAATAATAAAAACGAAAGAATATTAATCTACAACCCAGTGTGTCTGAAGATTTTAATTTTTTAATATTTTTTTTGTTCAAAAATATATATATATATTTTATATATATATATATATATATATATATATATATTTTATAAATTATTTTTGAATTTGTGAAAAGGAATTATCTTATTGATCAACTACAGTGTTTCACATAGCAATGCTCAACAGATTCAGAAGTTCTGATAAATCTATTGAATTTTTCTTTTATACTAATATTCATCCAATACAAGGCCCAGGAGCCACTCAAGGTATTGGGTTACAGTTTGGAGCATTGGGTTACAGTATGAGCATAAGAAAGGGCAAGAACTGAAGATAATGGTTAACCCTAGACTTGAAGAGGTCAAGAATGTAGTGATTGGGAAAACATGCTACTGGGAGTCTGTTCTACAAAGCAGCAGTTCTTGGGGAAAAACTGTCTGAATGGAATTTACTTCTTACTCTAGGAATACAAATGGTAAATAACCAGGTATCATATTTATATTTATATTTATAAATATTAAAATGATACCTGGTTTATTGGACCCTCTATCCCTGATGAGCTTTGTTATGTGAAACTATGGAGTTGGTCAATGAGGTAAGTCCTTTTAACATTTACTAATTCATTTATAGACTAATGTTGCTCTCAGTATCTATTGAGCATTTTTTTTTACAAAAATTCTGCTGTTTAATTCTAGTAATTTTTGCATATTTTCCTAGGTGTCATTGAGTTGTATTATTATTATTATTATTATCATTATTATTATCTAAGTATATATAGGATTCATATATAAAGAGAGAATAATGTCTCCCAGAAGACTGAACATATAAAAGAATAATGCTTTATAGAACAGAAACATAGAATGACAGGAAATGAATGAGGAGATAAAATTCACAAGAAGAACAGTACAAGACTGATGACCTGAGCATGTGAGCCTTCTCAGTGGTTTGTCCTGGCTGTGTGACAATACAGCATTTATTAGAGCTACCATGTAAGTGAATGAATGTGGGTAGGTAAGGTAAGCAGGTGTGTGACAAGAAACAGGCATCGGAATCTGATTAGGTTGCAGACCATTGTTTGGCGCTAAAATGCTTCACAGAAACATGATTTGCTCTGGCAATTACCATTATGTCTTGCAGATTGGCGGACAAGCGCGGCATTTTAAATAACTTACATATTGAATTTTGGACAGAGAATAAGGCTATCGAGACAACAATGCTGACAATGATAGCTTATAAGACTTTCCGCAGTGAACCAAAGGGAAAACACGGACAGAAAATAAATGCGAAAACTAGAAAAGCAATCAGCACTGCAGAAAATGGTTGCAATGTTGGGCAAAAAGAGATTCCCTTACCCTCCTGTGTTTATTGGCATTTTTGCTGCTGAGCGTAAGGGTCAGATGTTTGGGGACATGTATAAAAATTAGATTGTTACTCTAGTTTGTCAGGTATTAGGCTGTATCAAAAGTATTTTTGTCAAACTTGGAACTTTGTGCCTGCAAAAATGCAGTCTCAAAAGAACATTTTTTTCCCATGGACATCATTATTATTTTAACTACCTTCAATCTTCACTTGTTAAAAAATAAACAATATTTATTATTTTAAAAAGCGATTAGAATTTTAATGAAACCTAAACATATGAAAGTGAATTTATTCATTTTATTTGTTCTTGAGAACTTACAACAAAAATAATAAACACTATTTATTTATTAGATTCTTTATTGGAATGTTTGGCAGAATATTGGCCAATTGCAAATTGATTCGAACTTTCTAAAATTGTAAATAGTAAAGATTTCCTTATAGTTGCTTCATAATATTTTAATAATTAATATATGTTCATAAATTTATGGATAAAAAATTGTTTTCCTATTTATTTCTTTATAAATTGGTAATTTGCATTTGTCTAAATACAAGTGTATTAGTTTTTTTAGAATGTTGTAAATATTAGATTATTTTTATGAACAATCTAATAAATAGTGTTTTTTAATATTTTTGCTGTAAATTTTCAAGAACAAAAATAATGCATAAATTTACTTTCATCATATTTCTAGGTTTTATTACAGTTCTAATCATAAATTTTTAAAACAATAAATATTGCTGAGGAGTAAATGTAATAGTGTTGTCTCGGGAAAAACTGTCCTTTTAACATTCTGTTTTTATTTCCAAAGGTCAAAGGTAGCTGCATTTTCAATGATTTTTTTCATGTCTTAATAACTTCTCTTTGTTTGCATATTCTTATGAAATGCTCTACATAGGGTATCTTTCAAATGTAGTGTGTGATTTATTCCAGGTAACATGAAAAGTCCAATTTCATTCAGTTTTATTTTCTCATCAGATGTTACTAATACAATGATCTTAGCTCTTTTGAAAGTTTACAGGACTTTACTCCAATTCTAATTGCATGAAGATCATGTAATGTTCTATATATGATATATCTCAATGATCCTAACTCTTCTGAATAAATGCTTATGGCCATATCACATTCAAACACCAGTCCCATACAATCAATGAAGTTAAGCAATGTTAAGCCTGGTCAGTACCTAGATGAGTGACCACTTGGGAATACCAGGTGCTGTATGCTTGGATGTGGAGGTGGTGTAATGGATAATGGCTTGGAATTGTTAATCATAGATACAAGTTACTATTCCTGTTGTGTTCATTATAGGCACTTATGTGCAAATACGCTTGGGAAAGGTATGAATCCATTTCTTTTCCCCTCAGCTATAGGTTAATTAGTAAGACTTGTATCACTAAACCATTATTATCTCCTTGCCTGAAAAAATTCTTACAATCTAAAAATATTTTCTGACTTTAAATAACCTGTAAAAGGTTGATAAGCTATAGAAAACGAATGAATGAATCAATCTTCTGAAAACTTAATGGACCTTTAATCTAAGTCTAATTTCATGAAGCTTGTGTAACGTTCTACATATGGTAGCTTTTAATGATCTAAGCTATTGTGACAATTTTATGGACTTTTACACTAAAGTTAATTCTATGAAGATTATGTAATAAGTTAAATATAGTATTTTTCTATCTTTCATGCACTACCATATAGGAGGATTTATATTATATAACAGTTTGGAACTCTTTTCTTTGTTTCTAACAAAATTTTACTGTTTTTTAGTACTTTGCAAAGATTCTTGTATAAAGATTCAGAGTAGAATAATGTCAATATTACAATAAGATTCTTCTTCTCCTTCTTATCTCAGTTTGAAACTTTTTCATTTTTCTTCTCTTGATCTCATATATTTTCTCTTCTTTCTTTTTCCAATCTCTCTCTTAGCTTCTCTTTTTCTTTCTCCTCATCTCATTGACAGAAATCATCATCAAAAATTTCCTTGTCAACCTTTCAACTTTAAATATGAACCAGATTTCTCTTTCTCAATCCTTATCTATTTCTCTATCTCTATCTATCTACCTCATTTTATTCATATCTCTCTATTTATCCCATTGTGTTCATATCTATCTCATTTTGTTCATATCTATCTACCTCATTTTGTCTCTTAAATTTTCTCCTCTAACTTCTTTTTATCTCTCTCTCTTAGATTTCCTCATTTTCTTCCTCTTTATTTTTCTTCCTTTACTTCTTCCTCTAGGATTTCCTCTTCATTTTTTTCTCTCATCTCTGTTTGAGATTTCCTCTTCTTTATCTTTTTCTCTCAAAGATTTCTTCTTTTTTTCCTTTTAAATTTCTTCTCTTTCCTTCTCCTTAACTCAATCTTTAATTTTCTTTTCTTCCTCTTCCTTAACACACTTTCTGTCAAATTTCTTCTTTCGGCTTCTTCTTCTCTCTCTGAAATTTCTTTTTTTAATTCACTCCTAAATTTTCTCTTCTTCCTCCTCCTTACTTTTTAGATTTCTTCTTTTTCATTTTCCTTCTCTTTCTCTCTGCAAAATTTCCTCTTCTACTCATTTCTCTCTCACTCTTTCTCTATTTCTCTCAGGTATTTTATTATTCTTTCTCCTTATTTTATTTAATAATCTCCTTCATTCCTTTTAGATTTTGCTGCTCCCCCACTACTTTTCACATCTCCCTCTTTTCTCTCTTTCATTTTCCTTCGCTTTCATTTTCATTCCTCCCACTCTCTCATTTGGATTCTCTCTTAACCTTCTCTGTACTTTTTTCTCCCTTTCTTTCAAGTCCTTTTTCTTTCCAATCTTTTCTGCCTGACTTGAATTCACTTTAATTTCTATTAAATTTCTTCCCACAAAGAAAGCCAGCACCTTCTGTTTCCACATGGCTTCGTTCACGTAAACAACTATCCTAATAAGTGTTCAGCAACTGCAATACATACACCCACCCACATACACCACTTTCCTGCCTTGCATTTTTTTGCAATCACAATATTGACAGAAATCATCATCAAAAATTTCCTTGTCAACCTTTCAACTTTAAATATGAACCAGATTTCTCTTTCTCAATCCTTATCTATCTCTCTATCTCTATCTATCTACCTCATTTTATTCATATCTCTCTATTTATCCCATTGTGTTCATATCTATCGCATTTTGTTCATATCTATCTACCTCATTTTGTTCATATCTATCTACATATTTATTTCATTTTGTTCATATCTATCTACCTCATTTTGTTCATATCTATCTACCTCATTTTGTTCAAATCTATACTTATTTATTTCATTTTGTTCATATCTATTTACCTCATTTTGTTCATATCTATCTACCTCATTGTGTTCATATCTATCTACCTATTTATTTCATTTTGTTCATATCTATTTACCTCATTTTGTTCATATCTATCTACCTCATTTTGTTCACATCTATCTATCTATCTATCTATCTATCTCATTTTGTTCATATCTATCTCTTTTTGTTCATATCTATTATCTACCCATATATACTGACCTAATTTATGTATATATCACTGTTTATATTTATCTTTTTACCTATCCATCTGTCTTAGTCTGTGTATGAATGTAGGTATTTTTCTCTCTCTGTTTAGATGTATCTAAATCTGTTTATATCTCTTTGTGTGGGAAAATGTGATATATAAATATCTATATATCAGAGCAATGTTAGGGAATGAATGACAAAGTGGAAAAATTATGTTACATATTTTGTCCTTTAGAAGGACTAAAGTAATAAAAAGATAAAAATAAAAACATTAGTCTGGTGAAATCCTTCTAGAGGACAAAACATGTAACAGAATTTTTCCACTTTGTCATTCATTTGCCTGTCCACCTGTCTCTGTCTCTTTATTTATCTATCTAGGTCTGATCATATCTATTTATTTGTTTATCTGTATATCTGTCTATTAATCTATCTCAGTCTGTTCATATTCTACACAGTCTGTTTATATCTTTTGAACAGGAGTAGAGGTTTATCACCTGTTTCATGTTTAGGATTGGGTTTCCAGTTCCTTCTAAAGTCTGCTTCGGCACTATACTCCTAACACTTGTTCTTTCCTATGCTAATATATGTTTACACAGTAACCCTCTACCTTGAGTGGCTCTTGGGCCTTATATTGGGTGAACAATAATAAAAAAAATCTGTGCAAGTTTGTTCATATCTATAATAATAATAATAATATCACACAGTAATATAATCAGTGGAATTTTTGTTTTTGAGACATGGCTTCTTTACAACTCAAGAATTTTTCATAGAATCCTCACAGAGTAAAAGATGTCAGTTTTCTGGAGGTCTACAATTTTGATGTCAATTCAAATTTGTCCTTAGCACTCCTTCAAGATTCAAGTACACCTATTATTTCAGGAATTACTTTAACTGTCATGTTCCATAGCTTCTTTAGCTTTTTCAACTCCCTATAATAATAATAATAATAATAATAATAATAATATTAATTATTATTATTATTATTATTATTATTAGGAAAGAGGGTTTTGAAAATTTGACAATCACAGGACATATTGAAAGTAAGAGAGGCAGAGGTGTTAAAACTAAATCCAAAAGTTCATTGGAATAGCAAAAGTTTCATTAGAAACAAATAAAAGATTATTGAATTGCTATTTAATATCAGTCCTTATCAATGTTGGTGAATGCTGGACAATTTCCTCACATATAAGAAAGTGACTTGAGGCATCAATGATAGGTTTCTGCAGAACAATATCAAGAATACCATGTATGGAACATTTAAATGAAGTTTTAAGTGTGAACCAGAAGGACACTTGTGCTTAGGATCCAAAAAGACAGTTCCAGGACACCTAATGAGGAAAGAGGGTTCGGGGAATTTGACATTCACAGGAAATACTGAAGGCAAAAGTAGCAAAGGGAAAACACTGTGTAATGAGTTTGTGTAAATGGATAGTAGAATAAAGAATGGGAAGATTAGTAAGGAGAAAGATATTGCTTAGAGCTAGAAAAGTTAGGAGTTTGTGGAATGTCATGAATGCCCACGTTCTGAAAGGATATGGCATATCAAAGAAGATTATCAAACAATAACAGTGATAACAAATATAAGCTGTAGAAATAAATAAAAAAATAAGATTGGTTTCAGAATTCAAGGATTATGTTGTATTAAAATACAGTGCAGCTGGGAACAAAATGCACATAAAAAATGCAGGGCAATTAATTTTAATCAGTGGCAATATTTTAGACCATTCAGGAAGCAAAGGTTGTCATTTCAGATTGGTCAAATGAAATAAAATTACAGGCTCAAATGTGGGAGCATATGCTGAACATAATCTATATAATAAATGCAAATGTCAGTATATCACTGTGTTACATTTTTCACGCTTTACTCCTAGAGACCATAGCTCAACATATCAAACCCTTTTTGGAATCAGGCTGATTCTGTGAGCAAATTAAAAACATTCCAGGTCGGATCTGGACCCACAATCCTGAAATTTTGGATTCCCAAGTTTTCATTACTGCGATTGTGCTTGGCAATATTTTTTACATGATTTTTTTGTAACAAATTTTTTTGTACGATAATAATTTTTATAACTTGGAAATAAATTTGGGAATGATTTAAATTAATTGCGAAATCCAAAAAAGTCACCTATGAAATAAAAATAATTGTTTGTATGGAAATTAAGGACCTACATGCATCAAATTTTCTTTAAATTAATCGGCTACAGAAGAATTATCATTGAACTTTTAAAAGGTAAGCTTAAATATTAATGCAATACTTAAATGCAGTGATCAATTTTAAGTTCTGTAGTTTATTGTTGCCTGTTACATCTACTTCTCCCTACTTATTGTGATGAAGGCCCAATCAAGAGCCTTCCACAGGAGCTAGCTTAAATTACATCTGATATTTATAAATATCAGTAAAAAAAAGTACTTGTTTAAATACTTTGCTTGAAGATGGTTGGAAACTGAACCAGTCAAAATACAACAACAGTAAAGGAAAATGTGGAGATCTCTGCAAGAAAAAAAAGAAGGAAAACTAGAACTTGTACTATATTGTATCTTTAACCAATTAATTTCATTTATGTGTTAATTAACCCTCACTTTTTGCATATGGCAGTGAATGCGGGACAATCTCCCCACAGATGAATAAGGGATTTGAAACAACAGAAATGTGGTTCTATAGAAGAATGCTGAGAATACCATGTGAGCAACAACAAAGTTTCAAAGAAAATGAAAATGAAAAGAATAATCATATTTAACATCAGAAAGAGATAGTTGAAATTTCTATGGCACATAATGAGGAAAAAGGGCTTAGAAAATTTGACACTCACAGGACATACTGAAGGCAAGAGGGACAGAGGAAAACAATGCATAACCTACCTAATGAGATTGTGTAAACAGATGATAGACTAGGGTTTAGGAGAGATAGAAAAAATAACAAAATTTACTAAGAGTTACAAAGAACAGGAAATTGTGGAAAACCATATTCACCAAAATCCTGAAGGGACACAGCACAGAAAATGAAGAACCCTCACATTGGTAACATAAGAGAAAAATTCACCTTGAGCTGATATTCAAGCAATTTAACAAATGGAACTCATTAACACAAAACACAAATTAAAAGATGAGTTGCACTTAATACTATTGGGTTTATGTACACATCTAAAAGGTTATATCCACAAAAACTGTAGAAAATGACCTTTCAAACGTATCTATGACTTACTTTTTGGTTGTTTTCTGCTTTATGAAGTTGAGGAATAATCTCAACAGACTGGGTTATCTGATCAGAATGAGTTTCTAACTGGGCCTCACCTGCAAGGTTATGTACTGCTTTTATCATAACCTATCATCATATTGTGCATATTTGGCTGTGATGCATGTGTTTGGTATATGCTTATCAGACTTGGTGTCATGATGGGTATATTCAGCTTCATATTTATGGATGTATAAATATCACTTTAGTCCAATGAAGTCCTATAGGCTGAAATGTGTCACATAAAGCGTTTTTCCACATTGTCATGGTTTTTTGCCATTTTTTTTTTTTTTTGAATTTGTAGGTCTGATCATTTGGATCATGATTACGATCCCAATGTAATAAATTATAACCATGGGATATTAGTGTTTGAGCCTTTTATATTATATTCTTACTCTGTCCTGGACATTGAGTTCTACCTGGATTCTATCCTCTTGGGAATTTATGTATATATATATATATATATATATATATATATATATATATTGGCCACTAATATTATCTATCTATCTATTTATCTAGCTATATATATATATATATATATATATATATATATATATATTTTTCTCCTCACTATTTAGTACAGAGACAATTGTACCAAACAGTGAGGAACAAAATGTATATCTATTATTAGTATAAATTTTAACACTGTGATTTTGCATCAAGCAGTTTTTTTTACGCCCAGCACTCACACTTTATGTGTATATATATATATATATATATATATATATATATATATATATATATATATATATATATATATATATTTTTGTTGGCCTGTTATCTCTCACAATAATAATTATAATTTAACTATACAGTAAAAGTAATTATTGGGACAAAATACTAGTGACAATAATGGTAATAGTAAGATTAGCTGTTTTAATAAAGTCAATATTTAGTATTCAATAAAAAAGCAGCATTACACAGTTGAAATTTCTAAAATCCTTCTCTTAAGACAGATTCTCAGGAAAACAGAATTCTCATGTTGAATCAGCTATTATTGCTCTTTCTAGTATTGATGGGAGTTTCCTTTCTATGGGAATGTCACATGGAGAGTCACAAATTTGATTGTATCATTATTTTCCTTTCTAGTTAGATGTGGTGCCTATTTTAGTTGTTGCTGCTGTTGGAAGTCCTCAAGTTATAAGTTTTTTGTTATTTAGTAAAGTTCTTTATTTGTGATTCAATATCACTAGTCTGCATGATCAAACAAAGTACAGTCTTCCCTAAGATCCACAGAGTTGATTCACTTGAAGCCATTTCTAATCAGTAATCTGAGAAAACGGTTGTATATAGCTGTTATATAGATGGTTGTAGATTGTAGATAGTTGGGACATTTCTGAATGAGTTGGATGCTATGCATGACATCTATACAGAGTTTAGATCTGACATGGACAGACAGATAGATAGATAGATAGATAGATAGATAGATAGATAGATAGATAGATAGATAGATAGACAGACATAGTTGATTGATTAATCATCCAGTGGATTTCAAACTCACTATGAAGTTGTAATGGTTAGTCATTCAAGTCTCATTAACTATAGACATCAAAAGATTGATGGATATGAAGATATATATAGATACAAACAGACTGCTATCATTGGTGTAGTTGGTTGATACTGCATTTTGTACGGAGAACACAGTGAGATCTCAACACTCACAAGTAATGTTCAACCAGACTAGCCTCACCAACAATTATCCTATGTTGAAATTCCTGGAAGTCATTTTACTATGAAAATGTATTGCAAATGATTTTATCATGAAAATACATTGCAAATTATTTTACAATGAAAATGCATTGTTGTTGTTTTTACCATGAAATTGCATTGCAAATATTTTTACCATGAAATTGCATTGCATATGATTTTATTTATAAAATGCAATGCAAATAATTTTATTAATAAAATGCATTGCAAATGATTTTACTAGGAAAATGCATTACAAATGATTTTGCTATGACAATGCATTCCAAGTGAAAATGCATTGCAAATGATTTTACTATGAAAATGTATTGCAAATTGTAATGATCACCCAGACTAGATCCAATAACTATTACCACAATGCCTAGATTAATCTGACACAAGGTCATGATTTTTTAACACCTATCGAAGATCATTTTCACTACTAATGTAATGTTCTGTGAGAGTAGACTGCTAACCACTTCCTCCACAGAGTGATGTCATAGGTTATCTAAATACTTCATTATTAATAATACCAATATCAACTGGGAAATGTGGAATTGAAAAATGAAGCAAAATGCACAGAACATTCAAATAGCTTGAAAACAAACATCAGAAAAGTCAATGACACTGATATTCTGCATGCTCGATAAAACACATATGCAACCAAGAAAAAAAAAAATGAATAAATAATCAACATCCGCAATTTGAATAAACAAAAATCTTGAAAAAAAATAATCGCCAAAAAATCTGTAAATTATCCATAAAACTCACATTATTTTCAAATATTAAAATAAAGAAAAACAAATATGGTGGCATAATGTATGTAAATGGACCCTTATTTGTATAATATCAGTCTTCATTTTTTTTTTAGATGTATCTGTGTATATGAGAAGGAGGGTGCAGTTGTTTAAATAATTTTTTTTTGTCAAATGTCCACCATTTATGTCAAGAAGATAGATTAGATTAAATATTGCCAGCCTGTCTAGGTTTTCCTCACTTCCTGCATATACATGATAAATGACAGTCTTGGCTTACACTCCTTGCTTTCGGGTTTTTGGTAACTTCATTTGGACATTTTAGCATGAATATTGGTAAGATGGGGTGTGCCACAGACAAAAAAAAAGTAATATAATTTACTATATGGATTTTGAAATTTAAAAAACAAAAATATTAATTTTTAATATTTTTGTTATTTCTGCCCATGACTTCATATCCAAGTTTCTTCAATTCTTTCTTTTTTTTTTTTTCTTTTGATTTTCCTTTTCCACATAAGTGTTTTTCTCTTTTAACATCTTGTTTCTGCTTTTCTCTTTTTTCTTATTTTCTTTTTTTTTTATTCTAGTTTCCACTTTTTTCTTCTTTTTATTCTTTCTGGCTTTTTTCTCTTACTTTTTCTCCTTCACTCATCTGTTTTATATCTTTTTCTTCTTATTTTTGTATTCTTTTTCTCTTTTTTCTTGTTTCTCTTTTTTTTTTCTTTTTCCTTCTTTTTTTTGCTTTTTTTTCTACTTTTTTCTCTTGCTTTTCTTTATTCACACACCGTCCTGGGTAAGATGATAAACTACGTCCAACAGCAAGTCCTCTGATCAGAAGGTTTTGAAGAGTGTGAAACCACTTCTTAATTGCTGGTGTTTCAAGGTTCACCCTGACTGGGGGGTGGTAGGACCTGTTAGGGTCCCAACTATGGGTAAATAGTTAGCCCCCAAGCTGGGGTTAAAAACATTATGTAAATGTAAAAATAGGTTTGAATACCAGAAATACTTTGTAAAAACAAAAAAAAATTTAATACCAGCAATACATTTTTGAAAAAAAAGACATTACCAGCTATACATTTTAGAAAAAAAATATTATCAGAAATAAAAATTTTGTCAGCATTAAATAACCCATTGAGGTGTTGATATGCCATGAAACAAACCAAACCAATCTTCATGCACACAAGTATATTTTTTTTATCTTTTTCTTCTTGTTTTTCTCTTTTTGTCTTGTTTTTCTTCTTTTCTTTTTCTCCTTTTTTTCTTGCTTTTCTTTTTGCATTTTCTCTTTCTTTTCCTCCTTCACTCAGGTGTGTCTTTTATCTTTTTTCTGCTTGATTTCTGTTTTCCTTGATTTTTCTTCTTGTTTTGTCGCCTTTTCCTTTTTGTTTTTCCTTCTCTTTCTATAGATTTTCTTGTTTTTCTTTGTTTCTTTCTTCATTTTTCTTTTCTTTTTCCTCCTCCACTCAGGTATGTTTTTTTTCTTTTTTTCTTGTTTTTCTCTTTTTTCTTTCTTTTTTATCTTCTTGTTTTTTTTTTCTGATTTTTCTTTTCTAGTTTTTATTTATTTTTCTATTTTTTGTTTTTCTTATTTTCTTTTCTAGCTTTTCATTTTTGTTTTCTTAATTTATTTCTCAACTCTCTTTCCCTCTCTCTCTAATCATTTCACCTAAGCAAGGCAATAAAGCCACTAAGATACAGGGGATTAGTGACTGTGAAATAATATGTGAAAAAGAAAAACATTATTAAGGAGAGAGAAGTATGAAAGAACAGAAATTAAGAAAACAGAAACATTGATATTGCATTAAAATTTCTGAAAATCAAAGTTGACTAGAAAGAAAGAGGCTGAAAGAACCAAACAAAAAGTGTGAAAGAAGAAACTGTCAGCATAAAACTTACAGTTATATTTAGCAATTTTGAAATAATGAGACCTAGCCACCAATCTAGTACTGCACTTAAATTCAAAAAGTCTAGGTACTAAAGTAGAAAGCTCATCAGAACAATTACTATGAAAATATTCATAGAAAGTTGTCTCTTTGTTTTTCTATTACTCTACCACTTTCATTCCCACCATTATTTTCTGTTTTCCTTTTTATTTTTTTTTTATAATTCTATTTATTTTATTTTCTATGTGCATTTCTTTTTATTCTTGATTTTGCATAAATTTTCCTTTCAAAATTTTAACTCCTTAAATTTTTTTGACATATTTTCTATTATGTATGCATTTTGTGTCTGTCATTGTCAAGTTTTTTTTTTGTTTTTTGTTTTTTATCCATATAAACTTTTCTTAAATTGTTAATTATTATTTTTTCACAGCTGGTATTTTCTTCATTGCATTGTATGTCATAAAGAACTACTTGTACTGATAGGTAAGCTTGATTTATAAAGGAAAATTATTAGAATAATCCAGAACCAATACTGGGAGCAAAAAAAACTGCATAAAAATAGAAAATGAATTCAGTAAATACACAAAAAATAGAAAGGATGTAAGATGAAAATGTGTCTTTCCACTAGACTTAGTCAAGCATGACAATGATCCTGAGAGATCCTACTGTTATATTAAGTGTATGGTGGCAGAACAAGAAGAAATGACAGAGATTTAAGTAATAAATAATTGTATTAACAAAAAATACAAAGAATGGTGAGATGGTGTGAATGTCTTTTTGATGAAAGAAATAGATAAGTAAAGCTGTCCATAGAGGTGTACAGTAGGAGATGGAGGGTGAGTTAGGACTTACCTTTGGCAAGTAGTCTTTGGAGATGGGAAACCAGTTGTCTTTGGGTGCAGAGGTGGTGTTCCAACTAGCATGTGAACCTTGGCTGTTGTGCTGACTGACTGACTAAGATGTCCATTTGATGGGCTTTTATGTCTTTTTCTTAGGCTCAGATCAGTTCCAGTTTTTATTTATTTCTTTAATAGGAGTGGGTGCTAGTGGGTAAAAAACTTTGTATTGTATGTTTTTTGGGTGTGTGAGGAAAGCAGAAGGTATGTGTGGAACCGATGCGCACTTGACAGAATTTTTAGTTCAGTCTTGGGTTCCAGAGCGTTCACATTCGGCCAGTGGTGAAAATTTGTGTAACATGAATCAGAAGAAGATTTGGTTTTAGGAAGATTATAACACTACCGGGATTATTTATTGGCAGCAACAACCTTAGGAGCATAATGTATGCACATAACATAGTGTTGATATCAGATGCAGAAAGCAAACTACAGGAACTCTCACAGAAGGTCATAAAAGGACATGAAAAGAAACTAAGCATCAATTGTAAGAAGACATAATATATGGTTGACAGCAAATGGAACAGCACATCATGCAAAATATGAATTGGAGACAACAAAATCAACCAATTATAATTTGTATAGAACTTACAGTTACAAGTAGTATTTTCAACAGTGAAATGATGTAATTGTGAAGTTGAGGTACCAATGAAGGAAGCTCATTGGAACAATTACTATGAAAACATTTATTGAAGATGCAAAGAGAAGCTATGTTACAGCAGTTCGAAAGTGGCTGAGATAATGAGATGCCAGGTCAGGACAGATAATATTGCTGATCTTTCTTTGGATTTTGTCATGAATCTCTAGTTTCTGCTGCCAGACCTGGTCGGCTGTTATATCTGCACCAGACCAGATATGGTATCAATTTTTAATTGATATATTGCATCTTAATTTTTTCTTAATTTTTCCTCTTACTTTTTTATATTATGATAGACTGGACCTGCTATCAATTTCCAGTATTTATTTTATAATAAAACATTAATTTCTTTTTCATTATACCATTAATATGATCTAGCTTTTTTACAACTTCTTCTCCTATGTATATAATATATATTTGTTTATGAAACTTACATTGCCTTTTTTTATACTATTTTTCTCCCAGAAGCCACTCAAGGTAGAGGGTTCCTGAATGAGGTTGTTATAAGGACATGAAGGGAGGTGGTAAGAGAAAGGAAAAAATATATAACTTGTTATGTTTATAAAATATGCAACTTCTTATGTTTATAATCAGTTCAGCCAATCAAATTGGCCTATGCTAAGTAAGAGATCATGAAACACAGATTCCTATGATGAAGAAACATAATTTAACAATACTTTCTCTTCTTCCTTTTCTCTGGAAAAGAGATTATATCTTGTGTCTTTCTTTCTTGCACTTTTTCTTTTCTTTCTTTTTTTTCATGCAAAAAGAGGTTGTTTGCAAGTGAATCCTAATAATTGTAATAATCAGTCAGTTACTTAAAAAGGTTACGAACAGACAAAGTTGGTACTCAAGTGAAAGGAACAGCAACATGAGCATAGATGATAAAAAAGAGGTTTATTGTAAAAGAGAGTACAATACTGAAAGACGGGGGATTGCTAGTAATTCCTGAAGCAAGTCACCAGGTATATCCTGTGCTTACTATATATATATCTACTGATATAGTCAGTCCACAATAGGCGATAGGGAGTGTGGGACATTACATTACAACAATTATTAATGCCTAAAAATGGAATTTTTGACAATATACACATTTTTACATATTTATGGTTATCTTTTTACTTTTATCAAAAACTACATTCTTGTACATGTAGTTATGGATAATATTATACATTAATTACTATTTTTTAAAAATTAATAACTATTTGTGTTCAGTTGTTGACATTAATAGCTATCTACTGATGTGTTTATATTTTGGAATAATGCAATAATAAAAATTAAAATTTCATCTCTCTGCTAGATGTCATGAGCTGTAAAAAAAATTTACATCTTCAGATGTGAAGTGGTCAGATACTAAATTTTAGTCTGATTTTCTCAATGTAGAACTTTCAGTTTGGTGTTATGGACCTCCAATGCCCTGATGATAACCGGAACCAGTAGTCACCTGAATGTTCCATATTTTGGCAACTTCAATCTGGTCGTCGCTGTATGTCTTAAGCTTGTCAGTTTCTTTGACCATGATATTATAGTCACCAGAAACGGCCTCATTGATGAAGGAGCATTTTCTTGCTTCTTTGTCAACAAGGGTGATGTCTGATTTGGTGGCCTCAAAGACATGGTCTATTTGGATGTTGAATTTCTCACAAGATCTTGACTTGGTTATTTTCAATCACCTTCTCTGGTTTGTGGTAGTACCTTCATACTTCTTACATAGTCACCAATGCAGATGAGAGGCTACTTATTATTATTATTATTATTATCATCATCATTATTATTGTTATTTCTTTTCGTCTTTCTTCCTCCCATTTTGGTTTTTCAATTGACTCTTCATCTTTTTTTTACTTGTGCTTTTTCCATTTACATCCATTATTAATATTTTCTTTATTTTTTCATATAAACCTTCTCTTTTTTTTTTTTTGGTGTAAACTTTTTAATAAATCAGTATTCTTCTTTAATTAGTATTCATTTATGAGAAATTTTTTCCTTTTTTTTCTTTTTTGAGAAAATTGCATAACATTTCTCAGTTTTCACAAAGTTGCTGAAGAAAACTAATTAGCACATGCATTTTTTTTTCTCAATGGAGGAAAGAGACAAGCACAACGTAAATATTTTCAAACTAGAAACAAACAAAAAAAATACTGTTTTCCTGCAGAAACTGCTTACACATGCATACACAACTTCATTAATATCATCTTCTTCAGTTTCTGACATGTTTTTTCCTGACAATGCAAGAATTAATCATATGCATCTGTCTTCATTCAAAATCATACCATTCCATGACCTGACAGATCATCAGGGTGTCATTCTATGTCCTTCATGGCATTTCTTGGTTCAATGGAGATTACTTGGTAGCACCCATCTCCTCTCTGAGACATATGTATTTAATATGATGGTTGTTCATGCTGTTTCTGATAATTAAATTTCTGGTGTCTCTGCAGAAACATACCTCTCCAAGAAATAACCATTTTTTAACAATTTTTTTTTCATATTACAATCAAATAATCCCTCTAGATCACAAATATATATATATTTTTTAATATCTAAATTTTATGAATGTGGTTCAATTTACTATGTAAATTCATTGCAAGTTAACCCCTGCCTCTTATGAAAGCCAAAAAAAAATGCTCATACTACATAATAAAATATATTTTTGCTAGTCTTATGAAATTTCAGTTAATTTTGAGTTAGAATTAAAATTGGATATTTATGTTATTTAAAGCATATTTTTACTATTTGCTTGTATTAGAATAATTCTTAAGTACAAAATTTTAAGTAATTTCAAAACAGCCACAAAATCTGAATTTAAAGTATATTTTTTTCTTTGCTTTTTTTACTATTATGAATTATTTCTCTTATTTTTTTTTTTGTTTAGTGTAGGGGATCAATTTACAATGAATTTATAAAACAAACTGAACCCCCTCTTAAATTTTAGAAAATTTATAAACATTTTTTTCTTATATTCATGATTTAGAGAGCTTAATCAATATCAATGCAAAAAAAAATAATTCCCATACTTAGAGTGATCCACTCATGAAAAACAGCAAAATTTTGGGTAGGAAATAACTTTTGTAAATTAGTATTCTTTTGACCTTCCTTAGTATTCTTTTGACCTTCCTTAGACAATGAAACTTGTCAGAATTGAAAAATGTTGATTTGTTGTCAATTTAGAAGGAGGTCCCTGTTTATAATATCAACAGAGTGTCAAATCTATCTCTGACTTTTACAGAGTTATTGGCCTTAAATGTTTTGTCTATAAAAGTGTTTTTTGATGTGGGGCTACATAAAGATTCCTTTTAAATAACAAACAGATATATACATTTTTTTGAAGCAAAGAACAAAAATTTACATAAATGAATAAAATTATGCATCTGTTTATTCTTAATTTAAGATAAATAATTATGAACCTCAAATGTTTGTGGAAAAATCCAATACAAAATATTTTTAAAAATGTTTTAAAAAATTCAGAAAATTAAAAAATATATGCAGATATCAATAATGATTACACATTTTCAAACTTGACATTTGTAAATAACAGCTAAGGGACTTAGCCTAAGGTCAATAACATTGTCAAAATCAGGGATGGTTTTGACACTGTATCTATATTATAAACAGGACCTGCTTCTAAGTCAATAGCAAATCAAGATTTTTCTATTTTGACAAGTGTCATGAGCCAAGGAAGCTCTGAAGACTATTAACTACAAAAATTATTTCCTTTAAAAAAAAATTTCCCTATTTTTTTATTTCTTGAAGAGGAGCATTTCTCTAGAAAGTCCAATTTTTTTTAGTATAGTCTGTGTTATTTTGCTTGTTTGGACATTTATATGTCATATCACAAAGTTTATCTGTTCCCTGGTAAGAGCTTAAGGAGAGAACTGTATGACTGTTACCAGAATTATCCCTGGAAAACACCATGATCACCTGTTCTAGCTGTTAATATCCTATTACCATATATAGCAGTAGTTGAAATATTCCATGATTTATCCCCTTGCCATACATCACACATAACAAAGAAGTTTCTCACTGATGAAATCATTGCAGTATTGCAAGATTGACCTTCCAAAGATAAAGCATCAGTTGAAATGCTAATGTTAGAGACTGTCTTCTATTCTGTGAAGAGGCTTGCTTAAAACTGACAGGAAAGAGATAAGGGAACCTTTTATTTCAGCAGACCAGCTCAGAGGAGGTCCCATAGAGTGGCATAGAGATACATTCAGCTGGGACTAATTTTGAAAACTAGATATCTGTTATGCAACCTTGCAGGTGATTAAATATTTTCCACCTTGCAACACCTTTCCCCAAACTATGGCTTTTAAAATCCAGAACAGTATTAGATCTCTTCATAGCATCTTTTCCAAACTCATTCAGTAACTCTCTACCTTGAGTGGCTCTTGAGCCTTTAATTGGGGAGTGAACAATAGTCTAAAAAATGTAAATACAACAATTTTCCCTGCAGTACTGGATAACCACAGACACTACTTCTGAAATTACATTGTCAAATATTTAAAACTTTATTATAAAAATTAAATTAATTTTTGGTGAGATGACTTATTTCTTTTACTCGCCATTGTACATGTACAGTGGAATTTGTTAAATTCATGAACCGATTTTCCTTTACGGATCAATTGGTTTGATTCATAAACAGGATTGCAATCTAGGAAATCACTTTCCACAGGTTTGGTTTCTTTTAACGAGATAGCAACTTTGTGTTATCGCAAAGCCTTGTGTGGAGACAAAAAGAAGTGGCTACCTTCCAGGTGATTCATGGCATCAACATTCCATGAAAATAACACAATAATTGGTACCAACATAACTTGAATACTTATTAAATGTTCAATATGTAATAAGAAAGAAAGTATATTGGCATTTATCTCATTTCAAAAATGAAATACGAACTCGCAATGATAATCAGAAATTGAAACCAATTGAAAGTAAATATAACGGCTCCAAAACTTCAGGATGGCGACAGAGTGGATATAGGAGTTGAATATTCATTTGTTACTGTCATCTTATGGCCAAACCCTGAGATTTGAGGTGGTAGGTTAAAGAAAACGAAAGCTATAGGAAAGATCGATAAAAGTTTAACTGTCCGTTTTATCTTTGTTATCAGTGGGAAAACTGGTTTTATTTTTAATATGTTTCCATTTTCTTATATCTTTTTTGATAAGTATTTTTATTTTATTTTTCTCATTATTCACTCGTTCATTATTGTTTAGTTTATTGCCGTTTGAAAATTACTCTCTCTTGAGTGGTTGGTAACACCCTATTTATTGTCTCACAGTTGCGTCTCTGTCTTTGGGCAGAGTACACTCAGGGGCGACCCCGTCAAAGGACAGAGTCGCAACTGAGGAAAATTATACTGAGAGGTGCCCCGCCCTGGGGAACAGCTGCCCGAGGCCGCACCCTGTCATTGCACCAGATATATATGTATATATATATATATATATATATATATATATATATATAGAGAGAGAGAGAGAGATAGATAGATAGATAGATAGATAGATAGATAGATAGATAGATAGATAGGTGCTTGCTCCGAGGCCAGCGCAACTGACGGTTGCTGGGGCTGCGGGCAATTTTTGTTCCTTGTTCGGGTGTATGCGCTCGGGTCCCCACCTTAAAAAAGACCTTGTGTCACAACTCATCTTAGTGGGGAGACAGAGTAAATACCTAGTTTATTGCCATGTCCGACATGCAGCGCCGCATTAAAGGTTTTACAGGGGAAATGAACGATTTTCATTTCCTTCTAAATTTTTAAAATTTAGTAATGTTTATATTCGTATTTTGTATATTTTATCGTACTATATTTTAATTTAATACCGTAATAATTCGTACATACTTCCCCAAGTTTTTTAAGCCTAAAAGTTAGGAACATGTATTATACGCGAGTACTAAATAATCAATTTTTCCGGAAACGTGCGTCACCATATTCAGGGCAATATGATCGAAAATAAGTTATATAACTCAAATTGAATCCCCACCGGGTGCCCCATAATTTCGGCCTTGTACCACATCTAAATTACGTTCAGTAAATCACTATATGGCTCAAACGAACAACAGTCCTTCCTCGACTATCTGGATACCTTAGGACAAGTGTTGAAAAATATGTTCGGATAATTTAAAATCCCCGATAATTGAATGCCTAAATTATCGAAAAAGAATGAAGAAAAGCATCATTTTCTGAAATAAATTTATCTAATATATCTTCGAATAACATTTTCAAATGCCTTTTTCAACGTTTAGTCCAGCTTATTTTTAATAAAGAAATGCATCAATCTGTTTCCAGTTGACCTCGCGTTTTTCTACTGCTAACTTCCAAAACTAGATTAAAAAAAGTAAATTTATTTGTAAGGTTAAGTTCTGATTGAAAGCGCAACCAAATTTAATATTTGACAATTTTTATCAAACGTTGTGTATGTTTTATTTAAATTCTCAAAACGCTTGTCTGGGATTAAATATTAGAATGGGTTTAGTTCGGATAATTGAAAAATGTTTGAATGATTTTAATTCTTCTCTTCATTTCACGTCCATATAATCGAAATCCTGGTAATCTCGGAAGTACTGTAATGCGTAAGAAAGAAAATAAATCACTAACCAGACACTGCATTTGCTTAATAAATTTGTTCACATCGATATTAAACCATTGCGTTCGTGATGCAGCATTAGACATTATAGTCAAAATATTGGACAGTCAATCATGCAGAGTGAATTTGGTTTACGATAAACGGCCCCCAGCTTAGTTTAGTCGAGGAAGCTGTGAACGAAGTCGTATCGTAGCAGACTTCCTGTAGTTTTATTTTTAATCATTTCACCCCAAGCAAGGAGTTAGTACCACTAAGACGCAGAGTAGAAGAGAAGACTTTAGTGGGAGAGAAAGGACAATAAAAGAACAGGTTTCAGGAGAATAGAAGATAGCGAATGAGGTTGCATTTAAATTTTTGTAGATTGTCGGAGCAAAAAACTGGAAGAGAGTTCCAGAGGTGAGAACTGCGACAAAAGAAACTATTAGAATAAAACTTATGGTTGCATCTAGCTAGTTCAACAGTAAAACGATGGGACCTAATAGCCAATCTAGTAGTTCGCTTAAATTCACATGGTCGGGGTACTAAGGAGGAAAGCTCATTAGAACAACTGTCATGAAAATAGAAAAGACAGAGGAAGCCACGTCACGACGATGGGAAAGTGACTGAAGTCGAAATGCCAGGTCAGGACCGATAACATTACAGAGCCTTCTTTGGATTTGTCGAAGCCGGAGTACCAGACCAGATATGGCAACAATATTAGATGCATGGACGAATGGTAGATTTATAAATTTGGAAGATCCTAGTGTTTTTTTGTTTGTTTGTTGTTGTTTTTTGTTGTTGTTTTTTTTTTTTGTTTTTTCGTTTCTCTTAAATACCGAAGGTAGACGACGTAGTAACGTCCAGTTTTAAGCTGATTCCGTTTTAGCCATTTCAAAACATAATGTAAGCTTCTGGTGATACAGAATCACGAAGAACTGTGCCAAATAACAGAAACCGAATCAGTTGAAATGTTTCAACAGCAGCAACAACTAAAATGGATAGCACATATAACTCCAACAGAGAATAATGACATAATCAAGATGTTGACATTCCGCACTACATCGAACAAAAGGTTAGGAAGGAAACCGTCATCAATCATTGAAAGAACGATAACAATTAACGAATATTTTCCTGGAAAATGTTTTAAGAGAAAGATTTGATAAATTTCAATCGACAGTGGTACTGGCTACTCAATCAATGAATGAATGCTTCCTTATAAGGAAGTAGCTAATATTATCATTATCATATAAATGAATGCTTCCTTATAAGGAAATAGCTAATATTATCATTATCAAATAAATTCCTATTTTTAGTCGGTACGAACCAGATAAAAAATGTGAAATTGAGGTCGTACAAATTTTGAAATGTCAGTGCATATTATACACGAGATATTCTCCTCCCCCTAGAATTTCATAGCCCACCGTTAGGAGTATGAATTATACATGAACATATAATAATAACTGGCAGCTTGTTTTACGGCCGTATCACGTTGAAACAACGGTTCTCGTCCGATCACCGAAGTTAAGCAACATTGAGCATGATCAGAAATCAGATTGGTGAGCGTGGAGGAAGACCAAGTGCTGTAAGCTACCAGACAGGCCCCGCTAACGTTCTAACCATTCGGACATGAACAATTAATCAGGAATGTTAATTACTGTATATGACGATATAAAAGAAACGCGGACGTATAAGATGTACCTTCATTTCAGAAGAGCATATTCAGGAAAACGATTTTAGTATATTTAAGCATTGTATAAACATGTTATAATTACATTAAATAAAAAAAAACATTACAAAATTACTTTATAATCGATTTTTTTTGTATTTACTCTTCCCACCACCACAAGGTCAGGCTGTGACACAAGGTTTAAACAAGGGCTGTTAAACAAGGTTTAATGTGGGGAGCCTGAGCGCGTACACCCGGGCTAGGAACAAAAATTGCCCGAGCCCCCGCAACCGTCGGTTGCGCTGGCTTCAGTGCAAGCACCGATTCCCCTCTCTCTGGTGCAATGAGAGGGCGCAGCCTAAGGCAGCTGTTCCCCAGGGCTGGGTACCTTTCAATATAATTTTCTTCAGTTGCGACTCTGTTATTTGACGGAGCCATCTCTGAGCACACTCTGCCCAAAGGCTGAGACGCAACTGAGAGATGATAAATAAATGTGTTACAAACTACTCGAGAGTAATTTACACACATAATTGATTTGTTTTTTACGGCTTATCAACATTTTGCTGGTTATTTGAAGCCGAAACATATTTATCCATTATAGCATATATTATACGTTATCCATTACACCAATCTTGCAGCACTTGGTATTCTTAAGCGGTCACCCATTTAGATACTGACCAGGTTCCACGTTGCTTAGCCGGTGATCGTAAGACTAAATTACTTTAGTTATAGTAGAATACATTATTTATATTCATATATAAAAAGCAAGAAGTACAGCTGAACATAAAACAAGGAGTCGTAATGAAAACCAACCCACCCATCCATTAACCAATCATGGCCGCTTCGTATGGCAGACATTTTCCCCTGCAGCCTTAATGTTGTTTCCTAGATTAATGTTTTCCTATTACCGGCATTTCCTTTCAGTTACGTCTTTTTCTTCTGTAGTTTCCAGCTGATTAATAATAGTTGTGTATTGAGGCATATTTAAGCATGATGGAACAGCTGGTACCGACTAATGTCGCCGGTACTTTGTTACGACAATTCCTTTTACTGTACACTATTTACATTATTCGGACTATTGTCCTCATCTTTGTTGCCATATTTATCACAACGTTTCGGCCGTTGTACGCCCCGGCCTTCTTCAGATGATTGGAATGTTGAACTGAACACTTTATTTCGCTCGCTGGGGTAGACTGGCACAGTGGATAAAGGCGTTGTTTAGATCCAGTGACAGGACTCAAAAAGTTGTGAGTTCAATACCTTGTTAAGGCAGTGGATAACTTGGAGAGGTGAATTAACAGCAGTTAACTGATAACTGACATCCATTAAACATGGCATGTGGAACTAGAACAGTCTACTCCAGCGAGCGAAATAAAAGGTCCAGTTCGATATTCCAATCACCTGAAGAAGGCCAGAGCGTACAACGGTCGAAACATTGTGATAAATATGGCAACAAAGATGAGGATAATAGTCCAAATAATGTAAACAGTGTACATAATACCTTATCTCAGAAATATAGACAGATCTTTTTACTGCATAGGTAATTATCATTATCATCTCGTCTTCGGTATGGTTTTTTCGTTTTGAACCAAAGATTTTTCATTATTGGTGTTCTCCATTAAGTCTTACGGCCTTAAACAGCACCTTTCGTATTGTCAAGCAACACATACTTCTAAAGCGATAGAATATGAGGCTTTATTCCGATTTTCTTAATGTAGGACCCAAGGTTCGCTTGTGTAGATGACGACGCCCCAATTATAATTGAGACAATAGTCCCACTTTCTAGCAACTTCAATCCAGAGGTCGGTGTATTTCATAAGCTTGTCAATTTCTTTGACCTTGATATTAGAGTCACCACTAACAGCTACATCGATGAGAAAGCTGTTTTCTTTTCTTAGTGACAAGGATTTTTGGTTTGCTTGACTGAAAAACGCGATTTGTTTGGACGTTGAAATCCCACAAAATCTTGACTTCTCTGGCATGTGGCGGTACCATTTCTCGCCGACTTCAAGTCCATACTTCCTACCAATGCAGATAAGAGGCTACTCTATCATGACGGCGAATGTATTCTTTCTGCGCGCGTATTACACAAACATTGATGATTTTGGTGACATTTTCTGCCTCTTTGCCACATAGCCTGCACTTGTCCGAATCCACTTTCCGAACAGAATTAGTATTTAGAGTTTAGTCTTAGGCGGCTACCAGTAGGCTTTCAGTCACGCGTTTCAATCTGCCTTTCGTCAACTAATCCGACAAATCTTTTGCCTTAATGGCCTCGATGTCCCTCTCAAATTGTCCATGAAACGGTATTATTATTATTGAGAGAGCAGCTGTCTAATAATGTACAAATATAGGAAGTACAATATATAAGAAGCCTAATATATCCATCATGGCACCCAATCTGATAAAGGTATACAAAGCACATACACCACAGCCAAATGTGCGCGATATGATTTAAGTTTTTATAAAAGCAGCCCATAACTTTGTGAGTAGGACCGAGTTAGAAATACCTCCAGGTCGCGTTATCCAGTCTGCTCCTACAGTCTTCAATTGAGACTGTTCCCAAGTCTCTCGTTGTGACGTTTGGCTGGCACATCCAATGTTTTTTTAAAAAAAAACTCTCGATAACCGGCACATCCAGTGTTTAAGAAAAAAAAACCCTTCGATAACCGAACATGATACTACCCAACTATTCCCATTCAGTGTGTTAGACCCTAGGGGACATGCCCAACTGGTTGTGCTCAGGCAACACACAAGGACATATTTTGTACTGAACGGTATGTTTCTGAAGCCAATCTTAATTCGCCAAGAAAAAATATATATACATGTTAATATCTCTACTCGGTTCGTATCAGGATCCATGAGTGTCATGCTTAGTGCAGCATCTGAGAATTTATTATTATTATTATTATTATATTTGTCATTTTCGCACAGTTTATTCGATCTTATTAACCGGCTTTGCACTTATTGAATATCAAGCTACATCCAGCAGTCTTAGGTATCCAGTACTTTTCTGATTGTTCGTGCTGTGCCAAGCAACCAGACCTTCTGTAACAGATAAAAACTCACTAGAAATCTAATGTTTTCAACCAATTCGCAAAATTCTCTGACACTGTTCCGAGTGTTGTGATTACAATATGCACAATCTCTAACTATTGGCAATTCCATATTCCCTTGTTTTGTACTTTAGGTGTGTATGGTTCTCAACTTTTGGTACGTTTTCTCCCATCTGCTCTGGTATCAAATAGAAAATAATAAAACAACTCTATCCTGCTGTGAATGTTCAATAGCTTTTTCCGTTTGAACCTTCATATTCCATAAAACCTTGACTTTTTCATTTTCGATACTCACTTCCGGTTTAGGATCATACCGTTTATCTACACAGTCAAATCCAAATAGAAAACCGCCGCCATTTTGACTTGTTCGATTTTTTTTTTTTTGTAAACCTTCTATGCAAGCATGGAACATTCCGATAGTACTTGTCGAATGGTTTCATGTGTTTCACTGCCTCAAACTGCATGCTGGGGGAATGTCTTCTTTGCTCCCATATTTCCTGATTGATCTAATTCTAATCGCCCTTGTCTTCAACTGCAATTGACAGTTCTACTGTTTGTGGTTTTTAGATCATCTTTTCTCATGCATTCAAAAGTTTTCTCGCCACGCTGTTGTTCTATGTTTTGAATAATTTTCCATGTAAACCTTTTTGGCTCTACCGTTTTGTTTTTACTTCTTCGTCTTCTACGTGCCGTGTACCTTCGGAACGTTGACGATCATGGCTCTCCACGACCTCCTATTTCTTTTAGCCTTTAGCAACGTTTGTCCCTTTACCAAGCCCCCCGACCTGCCATTCATTCACATAAGTTCGTGAGGTTGGTAACCCACTGCCTTCCCTTTTCCTTCTTGTCTTCATTATGTCCTGAGAGTGACAAATTCGCCAATCCATCCTTCCTTATTACATGTCCTAGAAATTTCAGCTCCCCCTGATTCTGAGTATGTGCCCATTTTTTCTCATTTTTCTGAAGACTTCTTCATTGCTCACATGCATCGTCCATGATATTCTCAGCATTCTTTTATAGGACCACATTTCTGTTCCCTGCAGTTTTCTCTTCATCTGTGATTGGCTGGTGGTTTTGTGAAGCGGTATATCAACCTCAATTGGTTAATTTGATATCGAAATTTAAATATTTTGGACACAATTTATTGCTACAACTAAATATATTTTGAACGCAATTGTATACCTTCAACTACAGATAAAATGTATTTTACTATGAATAGATATTGTTGGTAATTTTTTATATAAAAGTGTAATGCTGTTATTTTTACTATAAAAATGTATTTTATACATTCATAATGTTTTGTTTGGCTTTCACTACTTGTCCATAGCTAGGACCCTAACAGGTGTTACCACCCCGGGTTAGGGTGGACCTGAGTACAACAGCAATTAAGAGGTGGTGCCATGCTTTTCAAAACCTCCAATCTCCCGATCAGAGGCCTTTTTGCCCGGTGTAGTTAATCCTCATACCCAGGGCTATCTTCATCTGTGAGGTGATTGTTAAGTATTCACTGCCATACAAGAGGATTGATATCACATAAGAGTTCAGCACTCTTTTCTTTGTTTATAACGAAATTTTCCTGTACTTTGCCTGATATTTTTGGATGCATTGACATTTTTCCTGTACTTTGCCTGATATTTTTGGATGCATTGACATTTTTCCTGTACTTTGCCTGACATTTTTGGATACATTGACATTTTTCCTGTACTTTGCCTGACATTTTTGGATGCATTGACATTTTTCCTGTCCTTTGCCTGACATTTTTGGATGCATTGACATTTTTCCTGTACTTTGCCTGACATTTTTGGATGCATTGACATTTTTCCTGTACTTTGCCTGACATTTTTGGGTGCATTGACATTTTTCCTGTACTTTGCCTGACATTTTTGGAATGCATTGTCATTTTTCTTGTACTTTGCCTGACATTTTTGGAATGCATTGTCATTTTTCCTGTACTTTGCCTGACATTTTTGGAATGCATTGACATTTTTCCTGTACTTTGCTTGACATTTTTGGATGCATCTTCTGCTGTTCTCACGTGTCTTCGGATTTCGGTATCGCATTTTCCATTCTCTATTAAAACACTTTCCAGATATTGAAATTTCTGTATTTTTGCTGTTGACATTTCCAATGAGATTTAAGGATACCTCTTTCTGCATTCCACTACCAAGTGCATCTCTGTCTTCGGCCAGAGTGCGATTCAATTGTGGCTTTGTCACATCCCCCAACCCCTGGAGAGAGATGCAGTTGAAGAAAATGATACATTGAGGTGCCCGGCTCTGGGGAACAGCTCCCCGAAGCTGCACCCTCTCATTGCACTAGAGAGGGGAACGATGGACGCCACCGAATCTAGCGTAACCGAGGGTTGCCGGGGGCTTGTGCAATTTTTGTACTTGGCCCGAGGGTACGCGTTTGGGATTCCCACATTAAGCCTGACCTTGTGTCGCCTCCTGACTCAGTGGGGAGACATGGATAAATAACCCAAGTATCTTCTCTTTTGTTACAGCAAAAGTTTTCGCGGATTCTGAAGTCATTCTGTTTTTTTTTTTTTTGGAGGTGGGGGTTATGCCTAAATACGTGAATTTGTTTTTTCATACTAAGTCTCGGAAAAACACTATAAAATTCACTACTTTTTATCCATAATTTTGAATGTGTTAAAATTATTCAACATTTTTAACAGGAAAAAAAAAATTCAAGTTGATGCTAAAAATTGCCGCATAACATTGATTTATTTAAAATGAAATGATCTGTTATGACATTGCCTCTAATTTGCATTTAGATACATTGTATTTATTTTTCAATTTTTCTAGTGGAATTATTCACCTGTATTGGATATAATCCATTATTGTACATAACTAGCTTACAATAAAATTTATATGTTATATGAATTCTACCTTATGAAAATTGGCATGTTGTAGGGGTGGGGGTGTATCATAAATTCGGGTGTGGGCACGAAAACCTTGCACCGGTCCTGGTCATATCTCAACTTCTACTCGCAGCGTAAAGACATAAATCTTTTCCTCAGCACATAAGCTTTTCCCAGCAGTGCTCTCACCTGGGCACTCCCAATGATATCAGATGTCTTGTAAAACAGAATAATTCCTAGAAACAGTTCCAAATGCGCCAATCATAAAAGGGACAACTGCTGCTAGGTATATTTTTCTGGTTTACATAGGTATCAACACCCTACTGGGTCTTGATACCTATATATTTTGGCCTGCTCTACCTTCACGATGTTCTTATCCCAAGGTAACGCAAAGTCTTTTAGGATCCACTCGTAGCTGCTCTTGTGTATAAGCGAGATATCAGGACGATTTCTCTCAAGCTTGTTAATCAAGATGGTCGTATCCTACATGAGTTTCACTTGCTCATTATCAGCTGCTGGCGGTATTATTATTCCATTTTAATAATTAATATTATGGTGTCAGACCTAGAAAACCACTTGAGGTAAACTTTTTGCTTAAGGTACTGAATGTTGGGGATAAAACTAGTCTTCCTCCCGAAGACTATTTTTTAGCCTCACTTTCGCATATGAGACACTGGGTGATATTTTAAGTCATTTCCGCATCATCAGATATGTTCATCATAGAACAGAAAAAATTATTCGTTTGAAAAAGTTTAAAACTTTAAAATGTGTAAATATATATGTAACTGCTTTCTAAAAAAAAACTTTGGCTATGAACTTGGAGACCCTCAAAATATTTTTCCAACTCTGTCTTCGCAGATCCAAAACAGTTGCCAAAATATTTTGATTTAAAAAAAAAATTCACTCAATCCGAGACTCGAAAGCCAGTCAAGGTAGAGGGCTACAGCTGAAATGGTAATGGAGAATGAGATATGTAACATGAATGAAAGAGAATTTGTGTAGTATATGTCTCACTCCAGATCATGCCAGTATAGACGTTGCACTCTTCAGTGAAGCCAGGTGAACGGTTGTGTTGGTGGAATGACCTCCTGGCTGCCAAGTGCAAATCCACGTGATTGCTGTCATATCTGGACTGGAGATGCCCAATCCTCTCTTTCCAGCCTTGACAGAGTTCAGAAACACTGACGCAGCCTTGTAGGCGATGAATTCTTTCCCACCCAACAACCCCTTTCTAAAAGATGCAACATCGCAAGCCTATAGCTACTCTGTCACTATTTAGATAGAAAAAGTTATGACAAGCTACATTTCCTAGTTCAGAACTTTACAGGTAAGATCCATCCTGTCATGTGCACTGGGTGAACTATCCTCATTTCTTTAGTATTCCATTGGTAAAAAGAAGTTACATTCAGATAGCTTTTTCCAATTTGTGGAACAGACTTCTGAAAAAATGCTTCCCCAGCCATTTAAATAATGACCTCTTCAAATCTAAGAACAACCATTAAGTATCCTACAAATAATCATAAACTACCAGTCTTATGTCCATAAAACAGTAACTCATTCAGTAACTCCTAACTTGAGTGACTCTTGGGCCTTGTATTGGGCGAACAATAGCGTAAAAATATATAAACATCGAACCGAGAGTCATTAAGGATAGTCTCTTATACTGACACGAGATGTCGAATCCACGCCCAAGAAGGCGCTTCGGAGCCACACAACCAATTGGCCAAAGTCCAGAATTAAGTAAAATGTAATTTTCCGTATGAAAGATTCCGTCTCGTGTTTTCACTAGCCTGCACGCCAACGATCTTATAAATGGTAGGAAGTGGGGATTATTGATGATATGGAAGATAGATAACGATTAACTCGTGGCTTGAAGAAGTAAAAATTTACTTTCAAACCATTGTGCGGGGGGAAACTCGTCTTCTTATATTCAGTCCTTCGAAAGTTATGATTTAAATGCAATTCATATTTGAGAAAGCGAGAAGAAAGGACTAACCATCTATTGTAAGAAGACAGAATGTTCGGTTGTCAGCAAAGGAAAAAGCCCAAGATGTGAGCTACGAATTGGAGACGTCAACAGCAAGCAAGTACAGAAGTGTAAATATCTGGATAGTGTTTTGACAGATAACGGAAAATGTGACACCGAAATCCGAAGGCCCTATTGGAATAGCAAAAATGTCTTTTTGAAACTAAGCAATGTACTATGAAAGAAGAAAATTTGGTTGGAAATAAAAAAAAAAAAAAAAAAAAAAAAAATGAAGAGTGCTGAACAGTCATGTAATATCAGCCTTCCTATATAGCAGTGAATGCTGGACAGTTTCCTCGCAAGACTTATAGAACCACATCTCTGTTAGATGTGGTTCTACAGAAGGAGGCTAAGAATACCATGAACGAGGCATGTAAGCAGGGTGGGCACGTACTACCCACGACTTATCACTGTGGTTAGGGGTGGTACAAGCCTGATTCGGGGCCCAAGCAGTGCTTTCTAACTCTCGCTATATTATCAATATTTGCTTTTTTTTACCTTCATTTATATACGTTACAAATTTAAACTCAGCACAACTAATCATTAAATGATGGAAAAATTTCACGGACTTTAACGTCATTCTATGTTTTTTTTTGGGGGGGGGGTATTTTTTTTTTGGTCCAAATCCGCGAATTTGTTTTGCCCATGCTAAGTTTTGGAAAAAAGAAACTATAAAAAAAATCCTATTTTTATCCGTAATGTTGAATGTGTTAAAATTATTCAACGTTTTTAACAAGAAAAATCTCTCAAGTTGATATTAAAAATTGCCGCAAAAGATGGAATGATCTATTATGACATCTAATTTCTATTTATACAATTATATTTATTTTCAAGTTTTCTAGTTGAACTGTTCACCTGTGATCCATTATTATACGTAATTAGAATAACATTTATATGAAAACTGAGAAGTGGGGAGGGCGTATCATAGATTCGGGTAGGGTGGTGGCGCTCGGCACGAGACCCTTGTACAGGTCCTCCATGTTAAGCAACGATGAAGCTTTAATGAAAATAGAAACGAAAACGTCGTTTTTACTTAGAATCAGAAAAAAAGACAGCTGACATTTCTGAAACACATACTGAGAAAAGATAGTTTGGAAAATTTGACACTCACAGGTCATAATGAAGGTAAAAGGTAAAAGGAGCAGAGTGGAATCAGCGAGTAACCTACCAAAACGAGCTTGTGTCAAATGAATCGCAGAATGTCGAGTTTGAGGGTTTGTAAAACGACAGGCAAAGAATAGGAAGTTGTGGAGAGTGCTGAAAGGAACGGCATACGGGAGATTTGGAAAGCAAAATTTGTATTTAAATGAAATCCAAATCAGAAACCTCTTCGCCTTCTAATCCTGCTCAAATAATCGACAATGCGACGATTACTCTCTCCTTCATCAAGACCCGCCTCTTCAGCAACCTAAATTCACTCGCTCCGCCCCATTCGTGACTCTCTGCACGCTTTAGTACAACCCCGCCACCTTATTCACTCGCAACCAACTTCGATTTACATCAGCCCCGACGCCCTCGGAGTCTGCCTAATACCTCTTCCCCTGACCCAACAATGTATTTTCACTGACCTTTACACCCCCCAACCCACTGAGCCGAAAATTGTTGACACTTTGGCGGAAATTTTCGACACGAACGACGGTCATTATTCCAGTGGATTTGAACATTTTGTAACCTGCTGTTTTGTTTCTGTAACACGCATTAAAGGCAGAAGCACCTTCCATCCCACTACATCCCACTCTTTCCCTTTCTTGGGCTCGTCACTTTACTGTTGCCTCTCTTTCATTTTTACGTCTTTCTTTTCAGTATTGTTTGTCTCCCTCACCGACATTTTGTTTTTCCTTTACTCTTATTTTTTTACACTCTTTTACACTTTTCATGTTTATTTGTTTTATTTTTTTTTACTTTATCTCTAACTTCACTCTTTCTCCCTGCCTGTCAGTCTCTCTATTCTTCTCTATTTTTGTTTGCTTCTCTCTTCTGCTGTTCTCTTTAGTCTTTTCTTCTCTATATGTTTCTCACGCGCACCTTCTTCCTTTCTTGTCGCATATTTTCATTCTTTTTTTCATTGTCGTTTTCATTGTCCACTTTTCTTTTCTTCATTTTTCATCTTTTACGCTTATCTTTATTTGCTTTTCTCTTTCTTTTTCCATTTTCTGTCTCTCTTTTTCAATTGTTTTTTCTTTCTTTTGTTTCCATTGTCTTCCTTTCTTTTCCCACTTATCCTTTTTTCTTTTCTATCTTTCTTTCCTCAATTATTTTTCATTTTCTATTCTTTCTTTCTCTCTTGCCTTTAAATTTCTTTTTTTTTCCTCCATCGTCTTTCTTTTACTTTTCATTTTCTTTCTTTTTTATCTGCCTTCATTTTAATTTTTTTTTATTGTCTTTCTTTTTCAGTTCATTTTCTTCTTCTTTATCTTTCCCCTTTCTTTGCTTTCATATCCATCTTCCCTTTCCATCTTACCTTTAATTTCGTCCTTCTTGTTTCTTGTATGCCACAATTGTTTTCTCTGTGTCGTTGACCTCTCTCTTTATCTCCTTGTATTTCTTTCCATCTTTCTGTCCTTTGTACACTCTCCCTCTCTATTATTTATCATCATCATCATCATCATCATCATCATCATCATCATCATCATCATCTTTTTTCTTCCTCTTTCAATCGGTTCAGAAAGCCAGTTAACAGAAAGAAACGACTAGATTATGTTTGATGTAAAGACTTCCATTCTTCAAACTTAATCGATAAGCTTAAATTTATCCTCATTATAGCGCAAGACGACAAGGCCAAATGTAAATCTTTTTTCCTCTTCTATGTGCCGCGTTCAGGACATGGGCGGTCAAGACTCTCCACAACTTTCTATCTCCTGTGGCTCTTAGCAGTTCATCTCCCTTTGATAAGGCTTCCGTCATTCATTCACACAAGCTTGCCAGTTAAGTAAACTTGCCTTTCCATATCTCTTTTGCTATCAATATACTACACGAGGGTTAAGTTTTCTAAGCCCTCTTTCCTTCCACATTATGTGAATTTCAGTTGTCTTTTCTTGATTCTGAGTAGACATGTTCTTTTTGTTGCCATTTTCTTTAAGAATTCCTTCTTGCTTACTTGTTTCGTTCATGGAATTTTCAGTATCCTTCTGATATTGATTTTTTCCCTCATCCGTGGGGAGATTGTCCAGCATTCACTAAGATGATGGATATCACATAGAAATCCAGCACTCTTTTCTTTGTTTCTAATGATTTTTTTCCGTTTCTCGGCATCTTGCTTAGTTTCTGGAATGCTTCTTTCGCGTATTCGAATCTCGGTGTCGCATTTTCCATCCTCTGTTAAAACACTTCCCAGATATTTAAATTTCTGCACTTGCTTGATGTTGGCATCTCTAAATTGTAACTCGTATCTTGGTCTTTTTCTTTTGCTGGTAGCCATACTTTCTGTCTTCTTGCAGTTGATGATTAGTCCTTCTTTCTCGCTTTCTTCTAGTTCGCTGTGTAGGAAATCCTGTAGTTTTCTTTCCGAGCCAGCCATCAACACAGTGTCATCTGCCTAGCTTATATTATTAACTTCACACCCACCGATAATAAATTTTGGTAGGGTCTCCAGTTTTCTTAAAATGGCGTCGCTGTAAAGGTTGAATAAATCTGGGGAGAAGACGCATCTTTGTCTTACGCCCTTTTTTATATTTGTATAGCTACTCAATTCATTTGCTATCCATATGCAGGTTGTTTGATCCCAGTATAAGTTCTAGATTATTCTAACATCTTTTCCAGATAAATTTAGTTTTCCTATTTGCTCAGTTAGATCCTTGTGCTATACCTTGTCAAATGATTTTGCGTAATCTATAAAACATCCTTCTGCTTTTGTATCTATCTATCTATCTATCTATCTATCTATTTTTCTGATAAATGTAAATAGGAAAATGTGGCGTGAGGGTTGGTCTGTTTGCTCAGAAGATCTGTAATTGAGAGCTTGGCTTTTTAGAGGGAGTCCATCTTGCACTGGCAAGAAATTCGTAAGTTATTCCAGTAACGAAGCAGGCCACATAAGTTCGTCACCAAAAAAAAAAAAAAAAAAAAAATCTAGTTCCCGCACCACCTTGTGAAAATGATATGAATATAATTCAAAGTTAAGACTCGTTTTGCTACGACCACCGTATTCCACTGGTAAGAATGGAGTTCAACTCAAACAGCTTCTTCCCAAGAGTCGCTACTTTGTGGAACAAACCTCTGCGTGGATATTTACCCAGCACCACAATTTTAACTCCTTTAAGCCTAAAGTCAGTCGTTACCTGTTCTCATAATCTTTACTTCCTAGTCTCCCTTCTGACGCTTATATTACACAGTATTCAGTAACTCTCTACTTTGAGCGGCTCTTGAGTCTTGTTGTGGGTGAAATAGTAAAAAAAAAATAATAAACACTTCATCGGACACTTTCCATTGCACATATATTAATCAAGAAAAAAAAATTTCATTTTTTAAATCCTAAAAAAACGGATTTTTTTTTTTGCCAATTCCAGTACCAGTAATTGCTACCCCAAACTGAGTGTCAGAACTCATATCGATACACTGGAATAATTATAAAACACTCTTACTAGCTTTTAAAACAGTTTCACTTTTTAAACCCCTGATTTTAAGGCCGTCTCGCCACCTACGCGCGTGCGCACGCCCGCCCACACACTGCCTATGGTCCTTAGGGCCACATCCAAACCTTATTAAGAAAAGTACTGTTACTGAAAAGTACCATATTTGGTCGGGAGCTGCCCGGTCCCCATTTTCCAGTTTTGATAGAGTTCAAAAGCGTTTTCGAATCCTTCCTTGCCGGAAGAAGAATTATTTCCCGCCCTCCAACCTCTATGTGGCGAGTCATTCACTGCTCTATCGTTACTTCCATGGAAATTGCAAGAACGAACTATATTCCTTACTTTCCGCCAGGTCTAACCTTCACTTCCAGGACCCACCATGCCACTTACATAGTAGAAAACCACCCACATTCCCTCCTTATTCCATCGGCGATAAGTAAAGTTCTACTCAAACAGCTTCTTCCTACGAACCACTGACTCCCAAGATGTTTCGCCGATCACTACAATATATAATATTCAAGTAGGTACGCCGCACTGAGTCAGGATGTGACACAAGGTCAGTTTTAACGTGAGGAACCCGAGTGTTTCCACTCGGGCCACTGGTCTAACCTGGTCATAGCTTGTCCAAGCTGGTCAGAGCTGATCTTGGCTTATAAGCTGATCTTGGCTTATAGCTGGCCCAGGCCCGAGCCGGTCCAACCTAGACATAGCCGTGATACCACCAGCACGGCCGAAGCACAAGTGCCAGGTAATATGTTCAAAAACCGTTATCTTCCTCTCTTATCCATATAAGCTACCCCTTAACGCCGAGTAGCCCCCGGTTCTTGTACAGAGTGACCCTTACTATTAAAAAAGATATATATATTCCAACTCAATATGACGAAAAATTCACACCAATCAAGTGTTAAGGAAGCCAAAAAAGCTTTACTTTACTACTTGCTCAGTAAGACTCTGAGCTATCAGCACAACGAAAAACAAGAGTTTTGCTTTTTTTTTCTTTTTTTTTTAAATTGTCATTGTCAATAAATCGTTACCTGTCTTTGCCCTGTCAGATAAATTTAGGGAGGAAAATAATGAATATAATTTTTCTTTTTCTATTTTTTTTTTTTTAATTTTATTTTATATTAGAAAAAAAATCTACTAGTCCAAAGTGTCAGTGCCGAAGTGTAAGCCTTAGCAAGGCGGTAAGAGGGAAAGGAAGGAAGAAAGAATAAGAAAGCAAAATTTCTCAGGAAAAAAAGAGGTTAAAGCATATATACCCAAACACACTAATGTAGACCCAATAAATGCTGTTCACTATTTTACGAGAGCTTGACATTTTGCCTATAAAAATAAAATCAAATAAACGCCATCAGTGACAATCATGTTAAAAAGGGGGGAAAAAAAGAAGTTATCCCTATGGTTAGAGCTCGGGCTGGAAATCCAAGTTGCTAAAAAAAAATAATACTCAAATCTTGTTGGTAAAAGTCAGGTAAGGTTAATAAAATTTGCCATGTTTTGTATTATTTAAAAAGTATTTTTACTTTTTAAATAATACAACACATGGCAAATTTTAGTAAAAAAAAAACGAAAAAAAGAAAAGCGTTTAAATGGCAAAGATTTGAATAATTTACTTTACTGATTGCAAATGCGAAATGCAATGACTACCTATTCTAACGTTCAAGATGTTTTTAAGAAGACATATTTTCCCGTAATTGAACAAAATAAACAAAACAAAACACTTCAGTGTCGACAAGAACTTCAAGATGTCCAATTCGCTATAAATTCATTGTAAAATAAACTGTAAATGAAATGAAATGGTTTCCCTCTGTTTTTATGTGCCATGTCCTTTCAGGACATAGGCATTCATGGCTCTCCACATCGTCCCTTGCAGCTCTCAACAAGTTCCTTCCTTCTGCTACCTCCCCCAGATCACGTTATGTCACCGACTTTAGAAGAAAAAAAAAGAAGAAATTACAAATTATATTTTTTTTTTTTTTCATGAGGTGGGCAAATTTTGTTTTGGATTTCGTAGGGAAACTATTTCAACAACTCAGACGATGCGAAATGGTTTCCCTACGAAAGCCTAAACAAACTGCGTAAAACGTAAAAAAAAAATAATTTGTAATTGTTCTTTTTCATCGATTTAGGGCTCCAGATTACGAATTTCGTAATTTTTTTAATTTTTAACATTTTAAAATAACTTTTATAAAATCTAATAACAAAGAATTGATTTTTTTTTTAATTCATGATCTGTAGTGCTTCTCTTGGAAAAAAAATTACAAAATTTCTGGCCGCTTTGCCTATTCTACAATTCCACTAAGAAAAGAAAATAGTTTAAGTTTAAGGTAAAAACTTGAATAATTTACTGATTGTAAATACGAAATTTAATACTATTATTAAACAACCATTCATTGTATTAATTAATAGTATGACTGGTTGTTTCAACTGAATCATAGAAGTTCTGAAGACATTTTCTATAATTGAACAACTTAAAGGAAACACAGCAATAATTTTCACGCCACAACCATGTTGCCGACAAACAAATAAAAATAACTTTAAATAATGGTAGAAAACACACACACACACACACACACACACACACACACACAACTATCCAGATATCTTCTATGTGCCATGAACTATCAAGACGTAGACGATAATGTCTCTCCACAGCTTCTTATAATTTGTAGCTCTTAGTAAAGATTGTCTTTTCACAATCCCTCCCATTTCTTGTTTTGTCATCCAAGCTTGTTAGGTAGGTGACGATGTTTCCCTCTTGCCTTCAATAGGTCCTGTGAGTGTCAAATTTTCCAGACCCTTTCCTCATTATATGTTCTAGAAATTTCAACTGTCTCTTTATCAGACTTTTTTGTTTCCATTATCCTTAAAAAAATTTCTCGTTCCTCACATGTTCAAT